TGCAAGATTTGATGTTCACAGACAAACAAACAGAGGTCCAAACATTAACGACAAATATTTGTAAAAATTTTAACTTTTTGCTCGTGGTTTTATACTTTTCAATACGCTCTCAAAAAATTTTATTAAAAAAAAAATTGAAACACCAAGGAATAACTCAAATATTGTATTTAAAATTATTGATACGGTTACCGTTTCGTTTTGTCAAGCTAAAATGTCATTAGTTCAATTTATATTTAAGTATAAATTTTTTACTTTATGTGTTACATCAGTTATTGAATTAAACGCTCAATAAAATTCAATAAACAATTATTAATTTAATCTCATTTAAAAAGCAATATTTAACTTAAAAAAATGTTTATTTTAAGAATGTAACAAGCAAGTTATGCAAATAAATCAGCGTACGGCTGAGAATAATTTCTTTTTGACATAAACCTTTGACGCATTTTAAAGTGAAGTAATTTTTTTAGTATAAATTTATGCATAGCTTTAAACCCGTATACGTTGTTAAAAGCTATCAGCCCATTTGTCTAAAATACCTTACAATGTTTGAAAAGAAGCCTTTGATCACAACTCTTTTAATATCTCATCTGTGATATCCTTCAGTGATAGAAGTTTGAATAGCTTCAAGCTCTACTTAAGGTTGTATATGAGTTTCTTCGGAGCATCTATTCCCAAATGGTTAACTCAAACTTTATGGACCGGTTGCTTTTCCATCTAACTTTTTCTTTCAGAACTATTTTAAGTTTTCATGCTCTTATTTATTATTCGATTCAATGCAAAATAATTCTTCTCTTTTGAATTCGCAAAATAATTCTTCTCTTTTGAATTGGCAAAATAATTCTTCTCTTTTGAATTGGCAAAATAATTCTTCTCTTCTGAATCTGCATTTTCTATAATTACTTTTACTTTTGAATTAGCTCTGTCTTATTAACACTTACCCATTAGAATATTATTGATGTCAGCTTACGGTAATAAAAAATGTTTGATATCATGGAGTAAGGCGTTTCCAAGAGCTACGCCGCTATTTAAAGTACATCTGTCTCTGACCAGTTCCATTGCATATCTTGGAAACTTTTGAATACTATAATCTGCCTGTGTTCCCTTACTTGGTTGCCATTCATCATTTTTCTTAAGTAAAAAAATTAAAACATTTATGATAAGTAATTTTATCACTAATAAGTGTTAAATATATACTAAACAGATTAAAATTTTAAGGCCACGCATATAAATTATATCTAAGATTTTATTATTTCAGATACATTCTTGGGGACCTAGTAATGAACCTGAGAGCTCACTATTAATATATTTGCGGTGTGGTATATTTCTTTCTTTTGTTTAATCCTGTTGTTGTGTTTTAAAGCAAATGTTAAATGACATTTGAAATAGCCCTTTAGGTTCTATTTTTAAACGCTGGTTTGTATATAAGCTTTTTCTTCTATTATAACCTTTGCTTCTTTAGGACATATGCAAACGATATGTTCCATTTTGCATTTTTCTTTTTCGCACTTAACATAAACATTGTTTCATGACACATTGTCTAATGAACATCAACAAGCAGATATGTCATTTAGTTTATCTAGTTTGGAATCCAGGTCTTCTTTGATATTTGCTTTCGCTTGTTTACGGTTTATGTTTTTTACAGTTGCAAATAGACTTTTAATTTTTGTTTCAATAGATTTATCGTTTATTAAATGCAACCGCGGGTTGACAGAAAACCATATAGATTTTAAAACCTATTTAGTTTAGTTTTTTAGTTTATTAGTTTATTTTGCCGTTAAAAATATTCACAAAGTACAACAATAAAAAAAGTACAATTGGCTGGAGCAAGAAGAAGACATAAAATAGCCTTATCACCGAGCCCCAATAGTAACGCAAATATATAAGCAACAGCATTTAAAAAAAGACAATTTTAAAATGTTAAGAAATAAAATTAAAAAAAAAAAAAAGTATTAAAATAATTGAAAAAAAAAGAAAAAGAAATGATTAAATATAGTAATAAAAATGACAAAAATTTCTGTTTTTGGTTATAAGCTGGATGTGATTCGATATATATATATATATATATATATATATATATATATATATATATATATATATATATATATATATATATATATATATATATATATATATATATATATATATATATATATATATATATATATATATATATATATATATATATATATATATATATATATATTGTATATATTATTTTCTTTCAAAATAGTTCAAAATTTAAATAAAATTTCTGTTCCAATATCATATAATATATCAAGAAAATTGTAGGTAACTTTAAGAGTATATATTTTCAATGAAAGTATGATAAAGACATTGAAATTCTTAAAATTGTTAAACGATCTAGATTTTTAAAATTATGGTACTAATTTGATAAATTTTAAAATTTTAAAAGTGACAGAGAAGATCTGCTATATTAAAATCCGTAAGTACTAAACAACGTCTTAATTTAGATTTGAATTGCGGAAATATTTTTTCTTTAATATTATCAATATGCTGAAAGTTTTTCCACAAAATTGTACCCCAGTATTAAACACGCTTAACAACTGTCCATAAGTTAGCAATGTCAGAACAATCTAGAAAGTAATAACGTTAATAATAAAGTTAAAATTTAATCAAACGTCTGCTTTTTGCAATTGCTTAGTTGTAATTAAATCACAAGCGTAACTGTCTTCAATTTTTTTTATTTTTGGCATTTTATATTTTCTAAAACTAAATATTTTGTGCATATTATCATTATTAGAAGAAACATTATTTACAATAATTAATAACACTTTGTTAAAGTACTAAACTATTTAAATTTAGCACAAAGTAATAACTGACTTGTTAATAATATTTATATAATTAGTAAAACGTGATAGCACGTCAGTATAATACACGCTTAACTGGGTTATGTTTTATATATGTTACATTTGTAAAATGAAATGATATAGTTAAAAAAGTAAACAATAAGCTTATTGTTTACTTTAATCTTTTTTATATTTTTATTTACATTATATCGAATGTTACATTTATAAAAAATAAACCATTTAAGCATGTTAATCTAATTGTATAAACTCGTGCAAAATAAAAAGTACTTTTTAAGAAATGTTTTAGTCCACAACTATATACTAGTCCATCAATTACGTCACGCAATTTTTGACCATTTTAGACTCCTCTCCGCTTTGTCAAAACATCTGAACTCTTTTTTTTTTTTTTAAGTTTCTACTTTAATCCACGACAGAAAATTTTAGTTTCGTGCTTCTCTTGTCCTAAAAGAGGTCCGTTTTTTCCATTGTTTAACTTATATGTGGCAAACACTGTCAAGAAAACAAATTGCCTTGCAAACTATAGAATATGGATGTCAGTTGGATGTCGAAACGTAACTTTCTTGTAAAAAATTCACTGTGCAGAATTTTTATGTGGTTTGTTTATATCGTACACACTACAGAAGGAATTTTAAAAGTTTATACTTTACATACTGCATTTATATTGTATTTTATGTGGTTTGCTTTTATCGTACACACTACAGAGATAAAAATCTCTGAGATTTTTAGACTAACACTTTGGTAAAAAAAATTTAAGCATACTTTTGACTGTTTTTTCAAATCAGTTTTGAAAAAAAAATACCAAACCTCATTTGAGTAGTTTTTTATATAAAAATATGGTAAAATTAAGCCGGAAAAAGTAGGGAAAGTGGGGGCATAACCGCATATGGAGGCACAACCACCTTTTAACATTTCCCTTTGAAAAATGTTATCTAATATGTCAAAAAATATACCATGCGTTAGTAAAACAGTTTCCAACATTTCGCTTTTGTCAAAAAGAGTGCCTTTTACGTTTTTGAGAACTTGTGTATAATAATGTTTATTTTGATAAAAATATTATATTTACATCATATTTTTCCAGACCTTTTTTTTGAGATTTCAGCAAAATTTGATTTTAGTGTTAAATATATATGTTATAAGCATTATTTTATCAAGGAAAAATCATTTTTTATATCAACATAGTCTCATAAGCAAGCTATAAAACTGTATTCTTTCTAAAAACTGTCATCTGGGGCGAAACCGCATAGACGTACAGGAGGCGCGACCGCATACTTTTAATATTTATTAATGTTAATAACAATAATTACAATCGTCACACTTGATTGCGATCATGTAAAAACTCGAATAGAAATAGTTTTGTTGGAAATTAGATTTCGTATTTTTTTATTTGTTTTTTATAAATGAGTTTTTGAATAAAATATAAAACTAAGAGTATATCGAATTAGAAAACTGTAAGTACAAATTACTGTAAGTACAAAGAATACCTACACAGTATGCAAACGCGTAACAAAATCAGCAAATAATCTGAGCTGCGACAATTTTAAAGAAAATGTACCAACGATTTTTTAGAGGGTGCGGTTGTGCTTCACAATAGGGGCAAAACCATTTTTTTCACTAAGTGTAATTTTTGTGTAATAACATTTTCAAAAACCGCTTAATTTTTTTCTTAATTGTATTAATTTCAAGCTTGATAAACTGTTATATAAACACATTGTTATATAAACACAAACTGTTATATAAACACTATTATATAAACACAAATAAACTGTTAAACACATTTCGTTTTTTATTTTTATATAATATTATTCCAAACGTAAGGGGGCAGTTATGCTCCCACTTCCCCTGTGTAATAAATAAAATCTCCAATCATTTTGTTTATATTAAATAAATATACTTTTTACTTATTTTTTTTGGTGATATGATTTATTTTTTTTATTACAATTATTATTATTATTTTTAGTATTATAACAATTGTTATATCTTATTATATCACATACTACTTATTTTATCATTTATTTGTTATTGTTTTTCACTTGTATAGTTTTTTAAAGTTATCAGTTTTTTACAGTAAGTTTATTTGTTATCTTATGTAAATGAAACAACAAAACTGAAGATATTATATAAACTGTAATTTTCTTTTTTAAAGTTTAAAATACTTGTTTCATTCTATTTTAGAATATAAAGAGCTTTAAATTAAATACCTGGGAACTAACTTGGTATTCATTGATTGCAGTTTTAGGAATAATTGGAAATGGCGTTGTAATGGTTGTTGTACTTTTATCTAAAAATATTAATCGCACATCATCGTTTCATATTGCCATATTTTCATTAGCCTTTGCTGACTTTATGGTATCTTTATTAAGCTTACCAACTTATATTATGTCAACTGATACCTTTAAAAATTATCATCCCCAAAACATTAGTGGTGATTTGATGTGTATATTTATTACCGGTTATTCTTTACCATATTGGTTTTTAGATGCTTCAGTTTATTTACTCGTATTTATTTCAATTGAAAGACGGAACACAATATTGTATCAAAAATTTTTATTGCTTCAACATAAATCTACAAAGTCAAAAATTGCAACAATGGTTTTAATTTTTTTAATTGCTTTTATCAAAGAATCTTTTGGAGCATCGTTTTTAATATATGATCCAAACGAAAAACAATTTGGAAATTTTTGTAAATATTGTTTAGACAAAAACAAGCAAATGATCCTTACTAGCTGTATTGTTATTTTAGACACAGTAATACCTGTTGTTATTGTTTCTTTATGTTTTTACCAAATCTCTTTGTCTCTTAAAAGAATTGGAGTCTTTTTAGGAAAATCTATGAAAGTCAATAAAATTGATATTATACATATTCGTAAAGTCAAAACAATAAAAACAATCAAAATAATAGCAGTTGCTTTCTGCATTTGTGTTTTACCGAACAGAATACTTTTAGTTCCCAGTACTCAACATCAAAGAATGGAATGGAATAACTGGATCTCCCAAGTTTTTGTTTTAATGCGATTATCAAACTCTTTTATAAACCCTTTGATATTCTGTTTTCAGAGTCAACAGTTTAGAAAAAATTTGTCAATAGTGTTTTACCGGTTTTACAAACGAAAATCTATAACATCAAACAAAGGCAAAAAACAATCAAATGGTTACCAACAGTTGCCAGATATGACTTTTTAATACTAATCAAAATTTTTGGACTATATTATAATAATAAAAACATACAATTAATATTATAATACATACAATGAATATATCCGTAAAGCCTGAATCAGGTGTTTTTTTTTACTCAATATTAATTTCATTTCATAATCTAAAAAAAAAATTTAAACATGTTTATAAAAAATAAAGATAAAAAAAAAGCTGTTTACCCGAACCGAAACCTTCATTCAATGTGGATTTTGGTTTAATAAATAAGGTGAATAGTAATGAAAACATGAAATCATAATAAATATGAAAATTATGTTAATAAAATTATGAATATAAATTACCAATAATAACTTAAATAATAACTTAAATAATAAATTAATTTTTTATTTATTAGTTTAAATTATTAATTTAAATGCAAATATCTTAATTTAAGATATTTGCATCTTTCGTATTTGTTAAATATAAAAATGGCCGGGACAAGATAAAAACTTATAATTTTTGGATTGACAAGCTCTTTATAATCCGTAAATAATATATGGATATTTTAGTTACGGATTATTAGGCGCTTAGCAATCAGACAAACATATATTTTCTTTTTACTCCGGTCATTTCTATATTTAAAATTTCTAAATTTATTTAGTATTGTAAATTTAATGAAATGTATGTGAATTTCTACATTTAAATAGAAAAACACATATCGGGTGAACACGGAAAAATCCGGTCAATTTTAACTTGAGATTTTTCTAAGACCTTAAATGCTAAAGCATTTATTATTATTATTTCAATTTTTTTAATATTAAATTTTTTTGCATCAATTAGGGTTTCAACTTAATTTTAACGGGGTTAATGGGCTGTTTAACAAGAGAATAAATTTTATAGCGAGTTTTGTTTGTTTATTTTTCGTTTAGTAACTTTTACAATTTAAAAGTTTGTAAATAAAAACACTGGCGGGGCAAGAAGAAGACATTTATTTTTCTAATCATCGAGCCCCAATCTTACGTATTCACAATAACCGTATTTATACATTACAAATTATTTACTGAAAATTAACAGTTTAAAATGAATAACAATTAGTTTAAAATGAATAACAATTACTTCAAAAAATTAATGCTAAGAGTAATAATCAAGTAAACAAGAAAAATCGAAAGAAAAGAAAAACAAAAAATAAATAAAATAAAGAGCGCGTATTTACAAGAGCCGTACTATATTCGTATACTATACAACTTACTTATTTAAAAATATAAATATAAAAATAGTTTGTTAGTTTATATAAAAATAAAAATAGTTTAATACAACAGTTTGTTATAAAGTAATATTTAGATAAAGACAAAAAATTAAAAATAAAAATAAAACTTTTTTTTTAAAATTTTATTTAGGTGCCCCAAGTACTGCTTTCGATTTAGAGGTTTTAAGTTGACCTGATACGTACTCAAGATCTTTAAACAATACTTCAGGTGTACATGAGATGTATTCCATTGAAAACAAAATAAAAAGCGTTCTTTTTTGGGATTTATACCCTTTTTTAAATAATCACTTTGCAGAAGAAGTTTTGACTCCGTGGCAGATCCAGCCTCAAAACATTTATATGTTTATATTATGTCAAAATAAGAAAGTTTTGTAAAAATATCGGAATGATTTAATATTTTCCTCCTGCTCTTTAGGTGAAAGCAACAAATTTTTTTTTTTACTTATCTCAACTAAAATCATATTAATTTAAAAATTTCAAATTTTATGTAAAAACCATTCAGCATTCAACAATTATGGCAATATGGCAATGGTGGTATCCAGCAATTATTTTGGTGAAAAATAAAAAAAAAAATGAAAAATTTGAAAAAATGTTATTCATACAATTGAACATTGTAGAATTTAATAGAAAAAACATTTTTTCAAAAATAATGTTAGAATATCATGAATATTCTTCTCAAACACATCAAGGTATTTTTATATCACATAGCAACGACCATAGCAACCGTTTTATCCTATAAGTTAGTCTCTGAAAACTAGACATGCCAAGCCTGTAACTATTCTTTTTTTAATGTTTTTAAATTTATATTGGTGTAAATGTCATAAATCTAAGTTACATTGCTATTTTTAACGGTTAAACATCGTGTTGTTACCTTTTTGAATACAGATGAAATAGTGCTTTACACTTTTAATTTTTGTATCTTACAGTTAAAAAGTTATTGAAAAGTATATTATGGCCAACAAAAAATGAATAATAAGACCAAGGAAAAGAAAGTTTAACGCCAATCAGCATAATAATTCCAATAACATCAATAAGCAATTTGATATAAACACAGGAAGTTCTACAAGTAGTAAAAAGCTAAAAAATAATCTTGAAAAAACATTATTTGATAATGACGAATTTATATTTTTTATGCATTTTAAACAAATGAAAAGTTGTTTTGAAAAGTATGCTACTTGTAATATATGTGGTACAAAGCTTTCCATGTTGCATGATCATTCAAGACACTTGGGTTTTTCTTTGTTTTTTTAAATTTATTGCAGTGGTTGTGCTTTTAAAGATGCATTTTTTTCTTCTCCTGTTGTCAAAAACAATAAACCTGGTATAAATACTAGTGAAATTAATGTACGCAGTGTAATGGCATTCAGGGAGATTGGCAGAGGCAGAGATGCAATGTTAACTTTTACCTCCATAATGAATATGCCACCACCTTTATCTATTACCTTTGCTATTAATACAGTCAAAACCTAGTTTTGACTGTATTAATAGCAAACTTTACGATGCTTATAAATCAGTTGCTGAGCAAAGTATGAAAAATGCTGCTATGGAAGTTAGGAGAATACTAAAACCTGACTCTAATATGAATGATGTTATTGATTGTGGTGTTTCTATTGATGGTACCTGGCAGCGGAGAGGATATTCTTCTTTGAACGGTGTTGTGGTAGCAACGTCTCACGAAAACAACACGGTATTGGATACTGTTACATAGTCTAAGTTTTGTAAAGGATGTCAAATTTGGGAAGGAAAAAGGGACACTCAAATATGAGCAGTGGAAAGTTAATCATTTCTGCCAAGTAAACCACACTAAATCAGCTGGTGCGATGGAGTCAGCTGGAGCAACAAAAATATTTTGCTCTTTAGTAAATAAATATAACATTCGCTATTCTAAATATCTCGGAGATGGAGACAATACCTCGTTTAGCACAGTTATTGCACAAAAACCTTATGATAATAATAAATTCTAGTTTTATTGGAAGAAGATGATGATCTTGTTTCAATAAAACTAGAATGTATTGGTCATTACCAGAAGCGTACAGGGAATCGACTGGGTCTTAAAAGAAAAGAGTTACGACGGGTAAAACTATCTGACGGAAAAGGTATATCTGGTAAAGGTCGACTTACGGATAAAGTAATTAGCATCTTGCAAAATTATGTTGGAATGGCTGTTCGACACAATTCAAATAAAAATTAATTTCTTTTGGAAATGAGAAACTCTGTAATAGCTTTGCTTCATCATTGCACTAATTTTACCTCTGAAGAATATCGTCATATGTTTTGCACCAAAGGTGAAAAAAGCTGGTGTAAATGGCAGTCTGATAGAGCAACTGGTCATGTTACATACAAGAAAAAGGTGAATTTACCCATTGCCATTATGGAAAAGATCAAGCCAGTATTTCAAGATCTAGCAAATACTGATATGCTTGCAAAATGTTTGCATGGCATGACTCAAAATGGAAATGAAGCGTTTAATCAACTAATTTGGAACCGATCCCCTATAACTATATTCACCTCTAAAGTTGTTGTTGAAATGGCTGTTTACTCTGCAAACATTACTTATAATGATGGTTTTGCTAAGTTATTTTCTGTATTTGATGCTCCTAATATTAAATCTGGTAGTTACTTTGAAATTGGTGCAAGTAAAAAAAACTCTATACGGCTAAAAATATGAACAAAAAATGTCAGATGAAACAAAAAAAAAAGAGAAAAAAAATTAAGATCTGTTAGAAGAAACTATTTTTGACAAAAATTAGATAAAGAAACTGCAAAAGATTATTGTGCTGGTGGTTTTTAATGATTTATCTGAGTAGTATACATGATTTATAATTTTAAAATTGATTTTTCTCAATTTTTGTTTTTTGTACGGGTAGCTGTAGCAAAACAATGATATCTCAATAAAAAAACATTTTTTTAGCTTCAAATTTTCAGGATATATTCATTATTGATGTTTTTGGTGCCTGAACCTGAAAAAACATTTTAAAAAATTAAGCTTAACCTACAATTACCATATCTAATTAGTGTTTTATCGCTAAAAATAGTTTTTTATATCATTAAGTCTGCCATTTTTGATCGTTTAAATTTTTTTCAAAAATTTTTGGTTCAGGCACTAGCTACACTAGTGTACTAGCTTTTTGAAAATTTTAAGCCTTTAATATTGATGTATTCTTAAGATATTTATGTTCTTGTGACGTTAACATTTTCACCTTTTTTTGCTGAGTCAGCAATTATATTTTATTAACTTAAAAATAAATTGCATCACGTTTTAGATTTTTATCTATTATGCTAGTAATTCATCAAAGGTATTTATTATGTGTAAAATATAAAAAAATAGAACTAATGGCTGGATACCACCTTAAACAATTATGGAAATATTTGTAATGGAATATGGAATATGGAATATGAATATGGAATATGGAATATGGAATGGAATGGAATGTAATGGAATGTAATGGAATGTAATGGAATGTAATGGAATGTAATGGAATGTAATGGAATGTAATGGAATGTAATGGAATGTAATGGAATGTAATGGAATGTAATGGAATGTAATGGAATGTAATGGAATGTAATGGAATGTAATGGAATGTAATGGAATGTAATGGAATGTAATGGAATGTAATGGAATGTAATGGAATGTAATGGAATGTAATGGAATGTAATGGAATGTAATGGAATATGGAATATGGAATATGAAATATGGAAATATTTGTAACCCCCTAAAATTATGTGGAGTAAGAACTTAAAATGATCGTTATTTTTTAACGCCAAGATATCATTGTACGAAATTTGAAATTTCTCATTAAAAATGATTTTAGTTAAGAATACTTAAAAAAATAATTTGTTAACTTGTTGCTTTCATGTTTATGGGTAGAGGGGTA